CCCTCCCCTCCCTCCTCCTTTTTCCTACACCCCACCCAAACCTTCCACCCTCTGTTTATTCAGGTACTCGGGCCCGCTGTGTGAGCTGGTGGTGGACTCGTGCTACAGCTCCCCCTGCTACAACCAGGGCACGTGCAGGTACCGCGGAGCCTGCAGCTGCTCAGACGTGGTCATCTCGTGCGGCTGGCAGGACGAGCTGTGTCAGCGTGAGCGCTGTGGCCAGAGGGCCGACTGTGACCTCTTGACCCCGTCCTACACGTGTGACTGTACAGGTGGGTTGGTTGGTCTGTCACCGCGGTTTTATGCACACACAAAAATTTAAAAATAAAGTGAAATAAAATAAAATCTGAAATTGTGCAAACTGAGCCCAAAAATGTGAAATTATGCGATCCTGTTCATTTCAACATAGAATGATAAAGGAAATTAATCTGAAACTATGCACACACAAAAAAAAAAAGAAAAAAAGATCAAATTTTGCTAAATTATGCGGGGTGCATAAGACCACAGGGCAGGTTGGTGGGCGTAGCGGGGCAAGGAGGCGTCTTGGATGTTTGTTTGTTTGTTTTTGTTTTTTTCTGTTTGAGTGTCTTTGTGATTGTTTGCTTTATTTGTTTGCTTACTTGTTACTAGTTAGTTTGTTTGTTTATTGGTTTGTGGTTTGTATATATGTTTGTTTGTTTGTTTGTCTTTCTGACCCTTTGTTTTTCTGTATATTTGTGGGTGGTTGGCGGGTGCTCTGGTGTGGTTTGCTTCTTCTTTCCTATCAAACATCTATCGTCCTTATCTCCTCTCCTTCTTTTTTTTATGTTTGTTACTCTCTTGTAACACCTCTAATCTTCTAGCGCTCACATGACCTTATGCAGTTGCGAGCGCCGTAATACCTCTACTAAACTAACTACTAGTTTCTGTATATTTGTTTGTTTGTTTTTATAGTTGCTTGTTGGCTTGTTTGTTTGTTCGTTTGTTTGTTTGTTTGTGGGTTTTGCTATCCATATGTTTGGGGTTTTTTTTGTCTAGCTGTGGGTTTGCCAATCTGTCTTTGTTCATTATTTTTTGTTTTTCTCTTTGTGTGTAGATGAGTACTCTGGTGTGATTTGCTTCTTCTTTTTCATTAAAAAATATCACACTTATTGCTTCACCACCTTCTTTTGCATGTTACTCTCATAACAAAGTAAATCGTCTACGGCCCTCTTAGGCACGTGTACTTTTATACGACCTATTTTTGTTGCAAGTACCGTAAAACTCTTGCTGTACTTAAACTAATGCCCCCTTGCCACCATGGATACAACTCTGTTCTTTTTTCTTTAAGGCACGGGTTACACAGGCCTTCAGTGTGCTCAGGACGACAACGAATGCAGAGACACCCCCGGCCCATGTCTCAACAATGGCGTCTGCGTCAACACTGTAGGGGGCTACTCGTGCAACTGCAGGGGGACCGGTTACCATGGCGACTTATGTGACGTGGACGATGACGAATGCGAGGATCAGAATCCGTGTTTCAATCAAGGTAGTCTGGAAGAACGGAGAACTTTAAATTCTAATTTGCTGGTTGTAATAGTGCATGCCTTCTGATTGTTTGTTTGTTTGAGTAAAGAGAAGCACATCGACACAATAATGGCCATCTATTGCTGGGAAAAAAGTAAGACAGACAGGACAGAATCAACAGAGGTAAAGTAAAGAAGTAGGACCTACCGGTGGCGCCCTCCAACCACCCGCTCCTTCCGACAGAAACAGTTTCTATGACGATATTAATATGGCACTTGCTCATTCGAGGTACATATGGAAATTCCCTTCCCTTTTCAACAAGGCTACCCTTTCAACAAATGCCAGATGCAAAAATTAAGATTTTAAATGACTTAATTACTTAATTGCATCTTGTTTTTCTTTTCTTTCCAGGCGCATGCACAAACGTACCAGGAAGCTTCGAGTGCGCATGCCCAGCTGAGTGGGACGGCTTTCGCTGTGGCGAGAACCGAGACGACTGCACTGACAACCCGTGCCAAAATGGCGGCTCCTGCAAGGACTTGTTGGGCGGATACTCGTGTGACTGCACCGGGACAGGTAAGTCTGACTTTTTTGGGGGGAGGG